ATGAGTTGGAATTGACTCAATGGCACACAACAACAACATATCTATACATACATATAGTTTAAAATTTTCTTCCTTCATCCCTATTCCAAATTGTGTCACACTATCAAAAAACTTGCTGTTATCACATGTCAATGTGTTATGGTTATCTTTATAATCAATACATAGAGATCTAACCAAAATTTTTTTAAGGTTTCACAGACTACGGTATGCTATTAATGAGCATTCAGGTTATTTCCAATTACATGCGAAATATGGCTGTCTTTTTTTTTTTTTTTTTGGTAGTAGGATTGCTGGTAAGTAAAATGATTTGCAAATATAAATTGTAACAAATCTTGCCAGATAGCTTCCCACAAAATTGTAGTAATTCACCCTGCCAATAGAGGTGCCTGCTTCTTCATATCCCTAGTAACGCTGATCTTTTTATATTTACAAATCAGAGATAAAAAGTGGTATCTGTTAATTTGAATTTTCCAGTCTGTAAGAGAAGCTGGACGTCTTTTCATGGTTTTGGCCAGCCGCATTTGTCTTTCTGTGAATTGCCTGTTACATATACTGATTTTGTTGCCCTTTTTTTTCCTACTGGTTGTCATCTTACTTGTGGCAGCTCTTTGTGTATTATGGATGTGTTAAAAACATTTTTCATCAAGTTTTTGGTTTTCTCAGGGTTTTTTTTTTAACTTTGTAATATTAAAAAATTTTTTTCATCTGGTCAAATCTGTACATTTTTTCTTTAGGGTTGAGTTTTCTGGTCCCTCCCTCCCCCAAGAATGCTTTCCCTAAGATTTTCCTGTATTACTTTCATTACTTAAAATTTTTATAATTTAAATTTTTATTCTATCTGAAATTCATATTTTATGTTGTGAGACTGTTTTCTCCCATAATAATTAGTTGTGCCATCATTTGTTTATACATATATAATTTTTTTTAAATTGTGCTTTAGGTGTAGGTTTGCAGCTCAATTTCTCATTCAAAAATTTACACACATATTATTTTGTGACATTAGTTGCAATCCCCACAATGTGACAGCACCCCCTCCGCCTTTCCACTCCGGGTTCCCTGCATCCATTTGACCAGTTCTTGTCCCTTCCTGCCTTCTCATCCTGCTTTTGGACAGGAGCTGCCCATTTGGTCTCTTATATCCTTTTCCCAGTGAAATGAAATGCCATTTTTAGCATATTATTAAGTTCCCATACATGATAGCACCTATTTCTGGGATGTCTATTCCATTCCCTTATGTACTTGTTTTTCTCATGCCAAAACCACGTTTTGATTATAGTTTTAACATCTGGTGGGAAAAAGCCTCTTCTCCCAACACTTTACTTTTTCAAAAATGTCTGTGGTGCAACGAATTACTTAACATGGCCCTTTTACCAGTCTTTGTGACTTTTTATACAATGATTGACTGGGACTACGCAGACAAGGTATATGGAATCCTAACAAGGGGACTGGTCAGTTTTGCCATCCTGCTAAGCTTAAAGGGAGATACTGAGAGTAGGAGCTGTAACACAGAAGACAGAGAGGGAGAGCCATAATACCGGAGACAGTGAGAAGCAGTGGCAGAAAAATGGTGGCAGCAGAACCAGGAGACCAGCAGGAGACGGTGTGGTGGGCTTCCAATCCACAGAGTGAGAAAGCTGAGTGCCTTCAGGCAGGAGGTGGAGTAGGGTGCCTCCAGGCACTTGGTGGAGCTAGGTTTGTTGACCCATGGAGCTAGATAGAGCTGAGCGCCTCAGGCCGAGGCTTAATGGCAGAGTCGGTGTTTCTGGGCACTTATTGGCAGAGCTAAAAGAGCTTTGTAACACTTGCCTTGGCCGGGAAAAGACCTGACTGCAGGCACGGCTGAGAACAGGCCATCCTGTTCGAAGAACTGTATTCTGAGCATTCCTGAACCTTCATTGTAACCTTTTACTTCCCTAATAAAACCCATAATCCCGAGTATTGTCTGTGAATTCTGTGTGTCCATTGCAATGAATCACCGAACTCAGCAGATAAGTAGAGTGCGCCCTGGGAGGGACAGATGGTGTCAGAACTGGTAAAAAGGGCTGGTGAGAGGAGGTATGTCTGACCTCCGCCTCACAGGGATCAGCCTTAGGCTGTTGATCTTGATTCTCCTTCCCCCTTGTGAAGTTACAGGAGGGCAGACGCCTCTGCTACGCCAGTCTTAGAAATTCTTGCGTATTAGTTTTTCTACGTAAGTTTCAATATAATTTTGTCTAGTAATAATCCTGTGGTGATTCTGATTGGAATAGCATTAAATTCATATACTAATTGGTATAGGATTGGCCTATATTAAAAAATAAATACTGAGTAGGCTCTCTCCCCATAAAATATTTTCTTCTGTCATCCAGTTCCCTCCTAGTGAATTTCAAAATTTAGAGTACACATTTTTTAATTTCATCAAATTTTCTGTGCTGTCATTAAGTCTTCTGTGTATGCATCAGCATATGTATATATAAACATATTTTTACTTAGAATCCTCGTTCATGTAAAACATTTTGGTTGTTTGGCTTAGTCTTCCTCCAAGTAACTGCCAACTTCATCAGCCTCCTGGGCCCCTTGCTCATTTGGTTGAGTTGCTCTAACTTTCCAAATTCCAACTTTCCTTCAGCCTCTGGGCCTTTGTACATTATGTCCCTTTGTCTGGCTACTCATTTGTTGGGTTTCAGTTTAAATGTTATTTCTTCTAAAGGCTTTCTCCGACTCTCTTCAAACTTCTATTAGGTTCTCTTTCATAGCACCTTGTACTTTTCCATTGTATACATAGCATCATTTATAAATATGTTTCTTTAAAAAGCTGTCCCCACTACATTTCAGGAATACTGCCAGCTTGTTCTGTACCCAGTGCCTAGCAGAATCTAGCATATGTACTTGTTCAATAAAGATTTATTGCTTAAAGGGAGTTACCTGTGATTTTAAGCATTGAGCTATCTCTAAAAGAACCGACTCTCTCTTAACCAATCTAACAAGCAAAAAGCTCTCTTGTAAAAATCAGGAGAGAATTAGTCAAACTGATTTAAAATGAGTAAATGTATATTAGTCTATTCACATCAATAGGAGAGTCAGACTTACTCAAATAAAAACAAACAAACAAACAAAAAAAATCTCCTGACTTGGAGAATGGATTCTTTATATCTGCTCTGGGCCATTACTAAAAAACATGCATCAATAATTCAATGCTTACAGCCAAAATAAGAATGTGAACTTTAAAAAATGCTTACGTCTACTACAGCTTTTATCTTCGGGTAGCTAATCTAATCTGAAGTTCAAGCAGGGAGATGAACCAGTAAGTAAAAATAAAACCCCATTTAATTTCTATCAGAATAAATTTTATTTTTACCTATAGGTCATTACTGATCAGTAGTTGGTTTGTAGGATCATATGAGCTGTACTTTTTATTTATTGAGTCCAACAACACTGCTTCTAATTTAGAATTTTCTTGATCCAAGTATTAATAAAAATACATCCAATGAGGAAACCCTAGTGGCGTAGTGGTTAAGAGTTCAGCTGCTAATTAAAGGTTGCCAATTTGAATCCACTAGGCGCTCCTTGGAAACCCCACAGGGCAGTTCTACTCTGTCCTATAGGGTCGCAATGAGTTGGAATCGACTCGACGGCAGTGGGTTTGGTTTTTTTTTTTTTTGGTATGTCCAATGAAAAATAAAAGATATTTAGACTTGTCTTAGTCATCTAGTGCTGCTATAACAGAAATACCACAAATGGATGACTTTAACAAAGTGAAATTTATTTTCTCACAGTCTAGTAGGCTAGAAGTCCAAATTCAGCTCCAGAGGAAGGCTTTCTCTCTCTGTCGGCTCTGGAGGAAGGTCCTGTCATCAATCTTCCCCTGGACTAGGAGCTTCTCTGCACAGGAACCCTGGGTCCAAAGGACATGCTCTGCTCCCGGCATTGCTTTCTTAGTGGCATGAGGTCCCCACTCTCTACTTGCTTCCCTTTCCTTTTATCTCTTGAAAGGTAAAAAGTGGTACAGGCCATACTCCAGGGAAACTCCCTTTACATTGGATTAGGGATGTGATTTTAGCAAGGGTGTTACAATCACACCCTAATCCTCTTTTAACATAAAATTACAATCACAAAATGGAGGACAACATTCAATCCATGACAAGACTCTTGCGAAGATTCTGTTTTTGATCTTTCCCCACCTTATCCTCAAATACTGCAGGGATAAAGCACCTTCCTATATGTATTACTAAATATTATCTCTTATCAAAACAAAAACACAATACACAAAGTGTACTAGAAATATTTGGTTCTTTTTAATCAGCTATTGATGGTATAATAAAATAAATTCAGGTGGCACCTAATTTAAACATTTGAAAATAGTTCATTGGAAGGATAATCTACAACACAACATGTTAAGCCTAATTGTCAAAATAATGCCTTTTTTTTTTTTTTTTTTCCAAGAAAGGAGAAATAAAGCCATGATCAAAATTAGAACCAACAATTTGGGTTCATCTGGACACTTACAGATGATTTTGTAGGCATACTGGCAGGCACAATGTTGAAAAATCAATCTACTAGATTTAGGAATAACGGTAAGATAAAAAAGGAAAGATACACACTTCATCAGAGTTAATGCCTGAAATTAAAGAAAAATATCCACCAAATACCACAACAGATCTTTTAATGACTTGTTTTTTTAACATTAAGATTGTTGTTTTGGGGAACACCTTTCTCTTTGAACATTTAATTAAATGTTCAATGCGTTAAATAATTTACAGAGAGAAATAAGTTCTGTATTCTGTACAAATTACAGCACTTGTAATTACCCCCTCTCCCCTCAAAGCTCAATTTTGCAATGGTCTCAACAGAAAATAAACAGTTCACCATTTGAACAGAATTTATAGCATTATAAAAGTTTACAGAACCCCTGTCCTTTAATCATTTTTTCTAACAGCAAAGATTCTACTGACAAAATTGAATGATCAGAATGTACAAATATTTGTGCAAAACGGCATTAATTGTTCTTACCATCTCACAGGGGTAAAATGTTCTTACCATCTCATAGGGGTAAAACCTAAGAACACACAATGCCAATAATGAAAAACTACGTTGAAAGTCATTCTATTTTAGATTCCAAACAATATGGATTATACTATTACTAAACATTAAAAGAAAATGTGGCACCATGAGCAGCAGGAGCAACAAATGATTCCGCAATCATGTCAGCTAAGGAAAGCTGACACTGGAATATGCCAAAGTTTATTTCCATGACAGCCATCCATCTTAAAAGACTGGAAACAACTGTAGGGCTTACAACTCACTTCAATGGCTTTATTCTTGAATTTGCAGATCATAAATGAAATGTTTACGAAAGTCTTATTCCTCCTTTCAAGGAGTGTTTCTTCTGTCACTGGAAATCCTTAAAAGAGTTGAATCATAGACTCTCTGGATTTACCTACGCCAATCCATTTAACTGGGAGGAAAAAAGAAACAACTCTAGTGTAAGTTCATTTATAATGTCAATCTCTGGGATTAAAAGACAGGTAGTTCCCTGCTTTCTCAGGGTCACCATTTAACTTTTCTCTCCATGCCTTTTTCCTATTCTGTTATCAGTCTCTGCATAAACAGAAATGTACTGCCAAGATCCAGTACAGGGTAGTTATGGTTTGACTGACACTTACCGGTTTTAACTGCATGATATTTACAATTTCTTAATTCCTAACGACTAGGATAGTAAGATACTGGCTGAAATCAGCAGAGACTTAAAGAAACTTTGATCAAGTTCCAGATAACTAAAAAAATAAGAGGATACTGAAGTGTCATGGTAACTTTTATATTTCAAAAGTAGAAATATCTGGAAGAAAACATTATTTTACCTTATACAGCCTTAGTAACACTGCTACTGTACCAGTACCAGTCTATGGGAATCCCTAATCATCTGCATCATACGGTTTTAGATTATTTGCAGAACTACTGGGTTCCACAGGGTACTGTTAGGATAAACCTCTGTGGAATTTTACAGAGGCCACTGTTAGACTCACTGCCGTTTATAATTTTAAAAAATGCTGAGTAACAGCAGCAAGCAAATATGCTTACTAAATTTGACAGCAAGCTGGGAGAGGCAGCTAGCAATTTGGAAAACAAGATACACATTTGAAATGAACCACAAATACAGAACAAGATTCATGTTTAAAATGAACCACAATATGAAATCAGAGTAAGTACATAATAGAATGTATATGAAGGACAGCTCCCACCAACACCACTTTTTCTTGTCTCTCAAAATTCCATCATGGAAATAAAAGAAAGGAAAGCAATCTGTTAAAAGAAAGGTTCCACGTAACTACGTAAGTATAGCCATAACTTGGTTAAGCCTGATCATCTTAACATTTTTTTAAAGTTTTATCAATTTTTTATTCATTTCCCATATTTTTTTCAAATGAGAGTTCTTATTTTATGTACCTATTATTTCCTAATGTCTAATCAAAAAAACTCCCCCATTCTCAAGGGTTGTTTAACCCCAAATGAAAAAACAAAAACACAAACCATTTTGGTGATGAAGAAACAAAAGGATTTGTTGTTAAGAGGAAAAAGGAATGAGAGTCAGTGTCATAGAGCCAGAAACAGACTAACAGAATTTAAAATAGGATCAAAATGAGTGAGAGGTGATCTACGTATTATCTTCAGCCATATGAAGGATTATTTACAGATGAATGATACATTTACTCTAAGGAGTAAAATTGTTTTTTTATCTTCCTGGGCATTAACGCAAATCATGAGCACTCTGCAAATGTAATAATGACTTGTTTTATCCCATCTCAAAGGCAGATAGGTAAGTCAAAAACAGAAAAAGTTAAAAATAATGTTCATCAAATGTTTCTATTTACCTTGAATTTGAAGCTCATCTTCAATAAATCGAACATAATTTTGTGCATTAACAGGTAGTTCTTTAAATGTCCTTGCATTTGATATGTCCGTGTTCCATCCTGGGAGAGTCTTATACTGAACTTCAACTTTATTTAAGACTTCTTGGTTTGCTAAAAGTTAAAGAGTATACTTGTTGATGGTGCACAATGCCTATTGTCAAACAAGTTTGTTTGTTTTTTTTTAAATACCACAGGCTTTTTTTAAAATTTTTTAAATACCACAAGCTTTAATCAAAATCCTTAGAGCCAAACGTATTAAAAATTGAGAATTTTTCAGATTTTAGAAAGGTAAAACAGTACATACACCACCTGAAGTAGTATCTGATAATCGAACATTTATATTTCTGTAGCAACACGTTGATTATTCATTAATTAGATAAAGATTATATAGCTCTAACAGCAGTTCAAGATAGGTTTTGCTGTCAAATGAGCTTTGGTGCCAAACTTAAAACTTTCAATATTTGGAGCTTTTTAAAGCCTGTCTTTGTTATCTAGTGCTGCTGTAACAGAAATACCACTAGGATGGCTTTCACAAACAAAGTTATTTTCTTACAGCTTAAACCACCTGTTGAGTCGATTCCAACCCAGTGACCCTACAGGACAGAGCAGAACTGCCCCATAGGGTTTCCAAGGAGCGACTGATAGATTTGAACTGCTGACCTTTTGGTTAGTGGCCAAGCTCTTAACCCACCATGCCACCAGGGCTCCCGATTTAGAAAGCTCAAAAGGAGGCTAAAAGTCCGAATTCAGGGTGCTGGCTCAAGAGGAAGGCTTTCTCTCTCTGTTGGCCCTGGAGGAAGGTCGTTCTCTCTTCAGCTTCTGCTTCCTGGCTCCTTGGAGATCTCCATGTGTCTAGGCATCTATCTTACCCCATCTCTCTGCTTGCTTGTTTAATCTCTTTTTAGATTTCAAAAGATATTGACTCAAGATACATCCTACACTAATCCTGCCTCATTAATATAGCAAAGACAACTCATTCCCAAATGGGATTATAACCCTGGGCACAGAGGCTAGGACTTACAACACATATTTTTGGGGGACATAATTCAATCCATAAGAGATTCTATACTATGGATTAGGAATGGGGGAACTCTATGATGGTACCAACTTCACAGAAAGGCTTGAATACCTGCTTTCATCTAAGAAATCTATTGTTTTTGTGGCTGTGTACAAAAAGCACAGCTGGAAATTTTCTTCATTATTTTGCCTAACCATTTCCTCTGTACCCCAAAGAGAAATTAAAAATAAACTATAATTAATAACAGTTCCTTTGACTAGAGACAGTATAGTGGGTTTATGGTATATGGTCCCAGATTTCCCTCTTCAGGACTCACTCATTCCTTCAGTTGCTGGGAGTATGCCTGCTGATCACTCACAGCGCAGAACCTAGCCCAAAATTGCCCTCCACTGAAGAGAGCCCACGCCCAATGTCGATGTAGGGATACAAAGCACCTGGGCACTTAATTCAGAACAACTCTGAAAGGCCATTTGGCTTCCAGAGCTCCTCCCCATGGGCTCAGCTGAGGGCTTTTTTTGTAACTACACTGTAGTTCAATTTCTTCCTCTTTCTAACTCTGCGTCGCTCACTTCCTCACAGATGCTGTTGCTCAGGGCACTCACAAACAATCTTCCTGTCTGCAAATCTCCCTATTAGAGTCAGTTTCCCAGGGAATGCAACCTAAAACAGTTGGGCCAGAAGTGGTCTGAGGAAGAAGGTTCTTTAAAAGGGAATTCTGGAGCTGGATCACTGGCCATTTCCAGGTGGAAATAGGTAGAGTATGGATAGGCACTGGCATGCTGTGAAACTGTTAAAACTTTCATGAGTAGTGAACTGAGATGCCATTCCCGTGGAAAGTAAAGCACCGACAATATCTTAACCATCAGTTGCTGCCAAGTCGATTCTGACTCATGGCGACCCTATGTGTGTCAGAGAAGAACCGTGCCCTGCAGGGTTTTCGATGGCTGAATTTTTGGAGGTAGACTTCCAGACCTTTCTTCCGAGGTGCCTCTGGGTGGATTTGAACTTCCAACCTTTCAGTTAGCAGCTGAGTATACTAACAGTTTGCACTACCCAGGTACTCTGGCAGTATCTCAGGCATTGAGAAATAAGGACAATCAAACAATGGAATTGGATGGCTCTTGATGAATTCCAATCATGAATTAGAAAGACAACGAAAGCCTGAGGGTGATTAATCATCAGTTTAAGGCAAAGTGCGAAAGAGGGCTGAATAAAAGTTAGATGAGTCTTCCACAGCAAAGGGCAGAAAAAAATCTGAGGACCAGACGCAGGACTCAATCACACAAAAGCAGAATCCACAGTAAATTGACTTCTCAAGCCCAGCACGTCTGCTATGACGAGGCCAGAACCCTGTTTAGGCAAGAGTGGGACCCTAAGACTTTGGATGGGAACATATGGGTTGATACACTTGAAAATCCTGAATGCCTAGATTTGTGGAACTCTCTGGACCTGCAGAACGTCCCACTACTTTCTGTTAAAGGTTAAGGCTTCCCCTTGCTTAAAGATCATGCAGAGGCCTCTGCCTTACAAGGCACTGTGTTTTCCTCTCAGGATCTATTCTACCTCCCCTACTGGCCAGCAAAAAATATCAAGGGTCAAGTCATAACGTAAGTTGGCCAAGGAAGCACTGGGTCAGCTAAGGGAGGAAAGGAACTATACCCTGAAGAATCTGCAGGATGGAGCCAACACGCACAAGTAGGAAGAGCAAATGTAAGGAACTGGATCTGAGGGTGCTGGTCAAGGAGGGGAAGGAGTGGTGGAACATAAAGTTGAATAAGAGAACATACTGATATGGGAGTTCTTTCCCATGATTCATGATAATTCAACATTCTGGCAAGGACCCTGACAGATAATGAAAACATGCTATAGGAATGTTCTTGAAAGCTTTGAGAAAGTGATGAGCCACACTAAACAGAAATGCCAGAACCGCTGTGGAAGATGGCAGAAAAAGCAATCAAGAGACTCAGTGGGGCTTCCATTTCCAGCTCTCATGGAGTACATGATTCCAGACTAGCTCTCATGGTGTAAACGACTGTAAAACTGAACAAAGTGTATGACAACTCTTTTCAGGCAGTGAACAACAGGAAGCATAAACTGCAGTTCTTGAGAGAAAGGAAACGCATGAGAAGTCCCGAAATCACTCAACTCTCTTTTGGCCTGGGGATAATTTCCTGACCACAGCTCAGGACACTGAAATCTGAGCAGACAGCAGTGGCCCCACTGACCTGAGGTGGCAGTTATCAGAGTTCAGGGAAGCTGAAGCAGCCAGAATCAGCAGTGCCAGGTGTCACAGGGAGACCATGGCTAAGGGCTGGATTGTACATGAAAAGAACGGGACCACTGCAGTTACCAGACAGCTACTGCCACACGGTTGAGTGTGGAACAAAGACTCTAGAAGTCAAGCTATGCTGGTGGAAGGGAAGGGACAGGGTACACTGGAGCTGCAGGGCTGCTAGATTGGAGAGACTGCCTTAACACCTTGTTAACTCCCCTGGCACCCAGCCAAGACAACAGAAAGGCTGTTCCTAAGGAGTAGAAACCATACCCTAGAGTAAGACTTACTCTAGACTCCCTCATCCCCACACACACCCCTTCATGACAAAGTCTAAAACTAAGGTCTACCAAGATCCACAGGGGAGACAGAATTTAGAGACTGACTTACATTAGGTTAAGAAAGAGAAGGGTGTGGGGAAACATCTTGAGTTTTTCACAGAACTACATTAACATTAACAAAACATTAAATCAAGTTCTATCATTCAAGATGATTAGCCAGTAATTCAACTGTCCCCTAAAATAAAAACCAACATTCTTCAGGAAAAGAAAAGAGAATCCATGTCTCTAAAACATATTTACAATGTCCAATATTCAATCTAAAGTCATTAGACATAGAAACAGGAATATGTGACCCACAGTTAAGGAAAAGCATAGCCAATAAAAGCATATTGGAGATGGTCCAGATGTTGGACTTAACAGATAATGACTTTAAAGCAGCTAGTATAAATATCCTGAAAGAATTAAAAGAAAATTTGGTCATAATGAGTAAAGATACAGGGACTCTCAGCAGAGAAATAGAAACTACAGGAAAGAACCAAATGGAAATTCTAAAACTGAAAAGCCCAATACTGAAATGAAAAATTCACCAGATGGGTTTAAGAGCGTATTAGCGATGGAGGAAAAGAAAGAAATTAATCAGTCTGAAGAACAAAGAGAAACAATGAAGGAAAATGAATAGAATTTCAAGGACTTGTGGGACGATATAAAAAAGTCTAATACTTCCAAAAGGAGAACGAGAAACTATGGCCAGAAAACCTACCAGCTGACAAATCAACATGGGGGCATCAAGGAACTCTTTAACAAAATGATAAGAACTACACCATGAAAAGGCATCAATATTGCTGAAAAGCTCAGTGATGTTACCCTCTAAACCCCAGGGCTGATGAAAGGAGATGTTGTTACAGGACTGAGATACCTGATACCAATGGGGATAATAGGATCCCCAAATAATAAAGGTCAGGTGGTAGCACTTAACTTTCAGAAGCAAGGTGAATTATCACTATGAGTGGCAAAGTCAGAGTAGCAGCCAAGAGGGCCTGATTATCAAAGAGATACGGAGACAGCAGCAAGATAGGCAGCCAAAAAAACCTGTTGCCATCAAGTCAATTCCAACTTATAGTGACCCTATAGGACGGCGTAGAACTGCCCCATAGGGTTTCCAAGGCTGTAATCTTTATGGAAGCAGACTGCCACATCTCTCTCCCACAGAGCGGCTGGTGAGTTTGAGTCATCAACCTTTCGGTTAGCAGCCGAGTGCTTAACCACTGAACCACCAGGGCTCCATAAGCAGCCAAACCCAAAAGACCAAAACAAACCCACAGCCGTTGAGTCGATTTTGACTCATAGCAACCCTACAGGACAGAGTAGAACTGTCCTATAGGGTTCCTAAGGCTGTAAATCTTTACTAAAGCAGACTGCCACATCTTTCTTCCATGATAGGGGGCCAACAAGGGTATTAAACAAAATAAATCAAGGATGGATTATCAGGGTCGGAGGACAGTCGACCCAATAAAAAGTAGTGACCACTTGCCCAATTTCTGGCCCTGAACCAGTTTTTACACATGGAAATCAGTGTCTGAGAGGACAGGTCCCCAGAAGGTACCCAATGTACTAGCTGATTGCCAATCGTATCCTTTCCCACCCACACCATTTAACAACAGCCCTACCTCCTCATGATGATCAGGTTCAACTACCCTGGCCACGATGGTGAATTCTTTCTTTTTCCTGCTGGCTTTGGCACATAAAACCCAATACAACAAGGTGGAGTCTTAGCTCAAAGTTTAATGGGACTCTTGCTTCTATATTCCACTTTGATAGCTGCAGCAGGGGCTGTAATTTACACTACTAACCGTCCTCTTATAATTTCCCCTAGGAAAGAGACCAACTGGAATCCTGCAGGAACTATTCCCAAATGGGGGGCAAATTATTTTACAATTTAAGTAATCCAAACAGCACAGGAGTGAACCATACTAAACACTGTGGTGCAGTGCACAGATTGCCCTCTTTAAGGCAGAGGCACTCATTCCCCAGCTGTAGGCCTGCAGGGAGTACTGCATGCTGATGACTCATAGCTCAGTCCCTCCCCAGGAACTGCCCTCATTCAATGACTGGCTGATGGGAGATACAAAGTCCTGGCCACTTGCCTCAATTTAGTTTAACTATAAAGGCTCATCCTAGGTCTGCAGCTCCCCATGGGATTGGCTACACTTCATGACAACTACTCCTTCTACCTTCCCAAGTGATGTTTCTGAGAACAAGTGATGTTTCTGAGAATATTCCCCAATAAACTTTCTGGATGCAAATTTCCCTCTTAAGAGTCTTTTCAAGGGGAACGTGACCTAAAACAGCTAACACAGATTTAAAAAGAAACTAAAGAAAACTGACAAGTTTTTTCTGGTTTTTTTAGCTTCTAATATTTTAATTAAAGGAATTCACTGTAATGTTCTCTATGGTAGATCCTGCGACATGTTAACAGTCATCATATTTGATTAGACTATTTTCTCTGCTGCTTGGGTTTACTGATTTTTGAAATAATTTTGGAAGTAGGATTAAGTATCAGGAAACAACATATTGAAATAAGTTTTTCAAGTAAATAGTATTCTACCATGTCAATAGATACCTTTTTTTGGTAAAGGAAAAGGAAAAAATATAACACATGTATACTTCTGAAGAATTTGTAGCTATCCTCAATTTTCCAAGAACTGTTCCTCAACAGCAAGTCACAAAACCTACAAGCTTACCAGGTTTCATTAAACTAGTCAATTTCCCTTCATGTGTGATGTTCTCAGTACGGCACAGTGGTTAAGAGCTTGGCTGCTAACCAAAAGGTCAGCCACTCCTTGGAAACTCAAAGGCAACGGGTTTGGTTTGGTTTTGGTATAGGATGATAAGACAAATGAACAGTCCCCATTTTTGGAAGCTGGAAATGTGGAAATTTGAGTAAGTGAAGAAATCATATAACTACACCTAGGTCTGAAAACACACACTGCCTCAAGTAGGAAGTCACCCTACATCCATCCACTTTAAAAAAAAGACCAAACCCATTGCCGTGGAGTCAATTCCGACTCATAGCGACCCTACAGGACAGAGCAGAACTGCCCCATAGAGTTTCCAAGGAGCGCCTGGTGGATTCGAACTGCTGACCTTTTGGCTAGCAGCCGTAGCTCTTAACCACTATGCCACCAGGGTTTCCTCCATCCACTTCCGACACAGGATAAATGTCAGAGAAAATAATGCGTGTGGCTTGAAGGAAAGGAAGATTGGTAAATGTATCAAGAGCCTGCTTACCACTACCAGCTGGGCTCTTTTCTGCTACCCTACCTTTCCAAAGGAAGGAAGGAATGCCTACATGGAAGTGAGTGTCAATATAAAGAAGATGAGATTCAGTGTGAATATAAAGGTGGCATAGCAAGGCTCAGAAGTGCCATGTTTCTTCTTTCCTATTTTGAGTTTTGAGCACATGCTTGCTGTGACCCAGCACCAATGCACAACAGCTATGAAACAAATGCTAAGAATAAGTCAATATACTTGCACTATTCACAAGGCTTTACCCAGTCTTTGGCTATATGCCATGAACTATAAAAGAAGAATATTATGAAACTGCTCTAATATATTCACTTTATACTATTCTATATGCATAGCCAAAGAAAGAATACCTGGGAAATGAGGTATGATTTCACCATCTAACTTGTAAGCAACTCCAACTTTGATTTCCGTAAACATGTCCAAAATATCCAATTTGGTAAGTGCCAACCTAATTTTGGAAAAAAGGGCAGCATTAAAACAGCAAACTCATTAAGGCCTTAACATCTAATACGATGAAAGATCAGAGGAAAATCCATATAAAGCTAAAAATTCCAAAGCAATTCTGAAAACAGATTAGGATTATATTGTAAAGCATGCCACACAGAAAACACTAGTGGACAAGACACTGTGTGTGTTCTTCATAATATATAAAAAGACTCAACTGACCCACCACCGAGTCACGTTTTCTATTAACCGTAACAGATTTTCACTGATTAATCCACACACTCTTGCTTAGCTTTCTTATGACTGATCAACAACACATACTCGTGGGAGGGCTGCCTGGAGTTAGGGATGCATTCATTCTATGGCCGTGAAACACACCAACACTCACTGTTCGACATGGATGATCACAAGAGTTCACTAGATCTATGTGTATTTACAAACATGCCATTCACCCCTCCTTTCTCCACTCTGGTTACCAACACTTCCACCCTTCTGGGCAGAAACTGTCAAAGGGGAGTGAGGAAAGCACATCAAGGACCTCTTCATGATTACTTCAAAATCTCCCGATAAACTGACTGGAAAACAGGGTTTTAAGGGAAAATCTGTAGAAATTAGATAAAACACTAGGTTTGAGATTCTTGTCCATGAATTACTTTTTTATCCTTTAGTTCTATTACTTGCTAAAAGTTAGTAAGCCTAATTAATACAGATAAGGATATATTTATGTCTTTATGTTAATAACAACTAACTTTTACTGAGCATTTTCAGTATGCCAGGTAGTGTGTGATATGCTTTCACTCCATTTCTTGCCTAATTCTCAAAACCCCTATGTAGTGGGTAATGCTATTATCTTAATCTCAAAGATGACAGAACTGAGAAGAGAAAGATTAACTTGCTCCAAGTAATGCAAGCATAATGCATGGACCTGAACTTTGAATTCAGGGAGTTAGACATCAAGCCTAGGCTCAAAATCACTAAGAATACTGTCTTCTCTGATTCTCTCTTTCCAACCTTGGATGTCTAGGAAGATAAATGGGGCCCCTCTCCTCATGTACCCTCCCCTCTAGATCTTGGTACACTTCTACCTGGAACTACAATTTCAGCTCAAAAGCCAAAGAGTGATATTTTTCCATTAGGGTACTATCTCAAGTTTTCACCTCACAAAATTAAAACTGTGGTCATGACATGTCCTATTATTTCCTGAAATAAATGCTTCTGCAGATTACTCACGCAGTAAATCCATTAATCATGTGAGCATATCTGAGCAAAACGAGGTCCAACCAGCCACATCTTCTTTTCCTTCCAGTAGTCACACCAAACTCTCTACCCCTTGTTTGTAATAATTCTCCAATATCCTAGGGAACAGAAAATAGAATTTAGGATTAGAATACCAGTGCTACAAATCTAGGTGAATTATACTAAAGAGCAAAGAAAAAATCTAAAGCCTCTTTAAGGAGCTCTGAGTGCAATGGTTAAGTGTTAAGCTGGTAACCAAAAGGTTGGCAGTCTGAACTCACTCGCTGTTCCACAGGGAAAAAAGACCTGGCAATCTGCTCCCATAAAGATTACAGCCTAGGAAACCCTAGGGGGCTGTTCTACTCTGTCCTAATGGGTCACTATGAGCCGGAATCAACTCAATGGCACACAACAACAACAACAAAGCTCCTTTGAGATAAACATCAGAAAATAATCAAATGACTGAAATGCAAGTTGAAGACAGAATTCCATAGAGACAGTGGGTTTAATTTGAAGAAGGCATTATTGGAATAGATCCATTTTGGGCTTTATTTTTTACCAAAAAATGTTACCATGTTATGTAGGTAATTTCCTAGAATTTAGGCTGACATATTAAAGACCAACTAAATGCTGCACATTAAACATTAAGTAGTTTCAAAGTATTTATTAAAACAGACAAGTTTAACAAATTGTTCCAACAACAACCCTGATTTTTCCTGACTGAAAACCATAAGGCAAATTCCCATCTAATAAATAGTTGTTAATGCGTGGTATAAACTGTTTGCACTAGCCTACTAACCAAAAGGTTAAAGTTTGAACCTACCCAGCCGCACCATGGAAGAAAGTCCTGGTGATCTTCTTCCATAAAGATTACAGCCAAGAAAACCCTACAGCTCTCAGTTCTATTCTGTAACACATGGGGTCACCATGAGCTGGAAATGACTCAATGGCAACGAGTTTGGTTTTGATTTTTAGATATCACAATACCCTTCTGAACAGAATTAAGGTTGAAAACAAAGCTCAAAGATCTAATAAGCTACAGTCACTCCCTAGAATTTAATTTTCCCATCTACGATTTACCTACTCCCTAACTTGCACCTTTCTTATTAAGGCTATCATTTCATTGCCTCTTGTAATATGGTATCATTATATTATATAAAAAAAAAAGTTGCTCTGATCAATCTCACAAGTGAAGAGTGAAAGGAACAAGAGACGAGAATTCATTTTAAAAAAGGAATTTTAATTTTGCTACTTTTTGAATTAAAGTTACTAACAAATAAGCTTACATTGTCTTGCTCTGTAGGAAAGGCACCAATACCAACTCTAGTTGTATAAGCTTTCACAACTCCGTACACTTCTCCCACATTCTGAGGGGGCATACCCAAACCAGTACAAACACCTCCAACAGTACAATTTGAAGAGGTTACAAAAGGATAAGTCCCTACAAACAGAAACAAGCATTAAAATATAAACACACACACATTATTTTTAAACAGAATTACTATTAAAATTCTATAGTTGAGTATATTCTAGGTATCTGACAGACATCAGCATAACTGTAACCACCCTCTCAAAGTCTCATATGTGTAATTCATTTTGTCTGCAATAGGATAAAAAGATAGGTGCTTATAGCTACAAATGAGGTGCTTATACCGAAGCAGCTCCTAGAGCATATGCACGATTACTGATTTCTCTGTATGGCAGGTTCCCACTTAAGGGACTGATAAATAACTTGATGCTGACACCCTGGTGCTATTCCTTTACATAGAATTATACTCTATGCATTTTAATTTATAACAAATTCATTTAATTCCTGATTCAAATATTTAAGGTGCAACAGCCCCCTGGAATGACAGCAGTATCCTGAGGATTTTGTGATATTTAACAGTTCTCCAGCCTTTGATTTCTATCCAGGGAATAATCTCAGAAATCACATGAGTAAGTTAAGACTGGTGTACTTTCCCCTAGAAAGATCCCCTTCACAATTAATTATTCACCCTACTAACTAGACACTTTGCTTTCTTTCCAGATTGAATATGCATATTATATCAAAAATATTTATCTACTAAATACACTTTCACACTTGTTTTGACAGATCAAGTTTAGATGGAATGGTCAAGAAACCAATGGGGCAGCAGTTTGAAGAAGTTAAGCACTAACCCTCTGAAGACGAGAAAATGCTCTGAATCTATCCAGAGAGTCTCAAACTCAGGGAGTTAATTAAGGTAAACAGGCTTCCACAGATCTTAGAACATGAATGTTTAATATCAATGTATATCATTAGTTCCTGAGATCAAAATAAAAAGGTTGAATTAAAGTGTCATCCTTCCATGGGATGCATCTTACAGTTCCAGGGGGGTGAAGTCTGGAACTGATCCATGAACTAAACAATGAAAATCACAATTTGCAGATCCCCACACCCACTAAATCCAAATAATAATTTAATTATTCTAACAAATTACAAAACTTAATACACATGCATTTTCCTCGGTATTCCTTTAAAAACAGACTGGCATAAGATAACAAACTTCCATCACTCCTGAACATACAAGATAAAAGCTAACATTAATTATTTATATCCCAAGTACTTTAAGTTTCAGCCAAGCTCCCCATAAATCATCTCACTTACCAAAATCAATATCAAGTAGTGCTGCATTTGCACCTTCTACCAAGATTTTCTTTGGTGGTCCATGTAGGGCCTCATATAGGAAATAAACGCCATCTCTCACCATTGGTTTAATTTTTTCCATATAACCCTAACCACAAAGACAAAAACCCAATTTCAATGTATACTAACAAATTTACAATATAACCAGTACAAGTATAAATTAACCTGACTTATGACAGTGAAATGCAAAGTAGAAAGGGGCTGGTGATGGTGCTCACCCTGCTACATTTGGATTAGCTTTGGTCCCTCATGCTGATTCTCCAGGACCAGAAAAGAGACACTAGCTTAAGAAAAAGAGACACAATGAAATTCAAAGGTTCTATCTTAACCTCACTGCAGACACCTCATAACCAAGTACTTAAACTTCATAAACTAGCTTTCAGACAAATCAAAAGTAACTACCGATTTTACACTGCCCTTTAAATTCTGTGAGGTATTTGAAAAGTTGCATTTATAATCCATGTGGCCATGAATTTTGAAACTTGCATCAAAATGGTTCTCAAAATGTGGTGAGGACCATAAGCTACACTGCTAAGCATGCAGATAGTCAATAATTGGCTGCCAATATTCTTTCCCATTGTGTTTGATTATAGTAAAATATCTCAGTGGTAGTTATCAGTAGATATCAAAAACTTTTAAACATTAGCATTATAAAAATTTCTCAAAAATATTTAAAGTGGTGATAATACCACTTCATTTTATAATTCAGTTAAAGATGTAATATAAACAAGAGCTTCTCCCAATGCCTATAGCATAACTGCAACAAAAATCTAGTTTCAACTATGTGTAAATATGGAATTCCCAGGATTAGCTCATGAACCTGAGTATGTCATACCCACTGATGAATGTATGGTTCCCTCTTGGCTCCAGTCTCCGATCTCTTACGTATTCCCATTTTTATGCCTGAAATGACTATACCATTCACCATGTCCCCTGCTCCTTATGTAGTAGCTCAACATATTATCGCCTGTAAGAATCTTCTTACCATCTGTTCATTATTCTTCATCTACTTCACATTCACATGGAACATTTATAAAATAGAAATGAAAGGTCATACCCGTTCTCTTTTTTTCTTTTTATTGTACTTTAGATGAAGGTTTACAGAGCAAATTAGTTTCTCATTAAACAGTTAACAGACATACTGTTGTGTGACATTGGTTGCCAATCTCACGACATGTCAACATTTTCCCCTTCTCGACTTTGGGTTCCCCGTTACCAGCTTTCCTGTCTCCTCCTGCCTTCTCGTCCTTGCCCCTGGACTGGTGTGCCCATTTAGTCTCGTTTTGTCTTATAGGCCTGTCTAATCTTTGGCTAGAGGGTGAACCTCAGGAGTGACTTCAGTACTGAGTTCAAAGGGTGTTTGGGGGCCATATTCTCGGGCTTTCTCCAGTCTCTGTCAGACCAGTAAGTCTGATCTATTTTTGTAAGTTAGAATTTTGTTCTATATTTTTCTCCAGCTCTGTTCAGGACCCTCTATTGTGATCCCTGTCAGAGCAGTCGGTAGTGGTAGCCAGACACCATCTAGTTGTCCTGGACCATACCCATTCTTTAGCACATAAATATTTCCAAGCTGCATGACAGAATGGGGTGCGGGGAGTTTATTTTAAGCAATCAATGCACTGAAGTCCAAATACCGAACATTTAGAATGTTCCTTGAAGGTCATTTTATTAGGAATTGGGGAGTGGACAGGCCTGAGGAATGGCAAATGAGCAGGGGTGGATTATTCAATAGGCAAGGTAAGCACAGTGTTTACCTTGCTTACCAGACCATCTGTAGTGAACAACTTCACATTTTTTCACATCAGAGATTCTGCTTCTAGGTATGGCTGGCATCTGTCTCTCTCCATAGCACCTTCCTACAGAATCAAAGCCTCTTTTCAAACGTACAATCCCTGACAGGGATGGATTACCCAGGAAGCAAGGTAAGCATGGGCTTACTTGTGCTTACTTACTATTGTGAAACCCATGTGAAATTGGTCACTACAGATTAGTAAGTAAGCACAAGTAAGTCCATGCTTACCTTGCTTCCTGGGTAATCTGCCCTCTGCATATGAGGTTCGTAGACTCCTGTTTAGTTCTGGAATTGACTGTTGATATTTACAGAAAAGAAGGAGTAATAATCAGATAAGCAGAAAACAGCTTGAGATTCACCAAAGATTGTGGGGATATGGAAGGCTGGAGAGAATGGGAGACTTGACTAGTGACTAATTCAGGTGCTACTGATACCTAGTAGTTGCCAATGGACCTACTTTTTGTTCCATTACTGTAATTGTCTCTAAAGATAACAGTGAGAAAGACAGTGACCCTATGGGGCACCACTCCTAAATGGGCTGGATGACTTCTAAAAGTTATCTCTTATTTGTCCCTTTGCTGATGTATCCTCCACATTTTTACACAAATCTAGTCTTCTTCCTGCTTAAGATTATTCAATGGCTTCTCATTATCTCCAGGATAAAAGCTAAACTCCCTATCATTGCATACGAGGCCTATGATCTGGTCCCTACTTCTCTAATTTTAAGTACTAGTCCTGCTCCCTCTTCCCCACGCAGTATTTTGTTTAAGCCATATTGTGAAGTTACTCAAATATACCATGTCCTTTCAGGCCTGCATGCTTTTATATTTTAAAAAGGACCAACAATCCCCTTTACCAGTTCTTACCTATAATACTTAACATATATCTGTTGCAGCACTTATTAATACTATTGTAACTATTTAATGTGTACCTCCTCAGCCACAATGCAATTTCCATAAAGGCAGATATCATTTGTTTTTCATTCTTGTATTTTCAGTTCCTAACACAAAGCCTGAAGGAATGAGAGATCTAGATGCCAATTTGGTAAACAAGTGATAAAGAGGACATGAAAAATGTCAGAAAGCACTACCTTGAGTTTTTGTAATTCACCTTCAATGTCTATTTCCAAAGTGGGGTATATAGATTTGTACTGATTAGCCAGAACTTTGAACCTGAGGAAGACAGAAAATCAAGACATTAATCTGGCTTAAAATTATCACTCTGAAAGATATCACTGGATTCAAATGACTTCTGTAGATGATCAATCGTCTTAATAGCAAGTGAATCCTCAAATTGAAGTTACCTTCTGAGAAATGCAATCAGACAGAATAAAACTTAATGAATGAGATGAGCCACCTGAATAAATGATACACCAATTTTTTCACTTAAGTTGGGAAATACCAACAATATGATTAAGCTGATAGGTAGGCATGCATGTGAGGGGTGGTGATTGAAATTTGATTGTAACTAAAGAGACTAAACCTGAATTAATTGTATACTGTGTGAAAAACAAAAGCAAACAGTCTCTATGACATTTGTAAAAGAGACGGGCTGACACTAGCAGCTTGTCTCTAACATTTTTCAGTGGAGGTATCCTGCCAGTGCAGACAAACACAGGTGACTGAAGATGGACACATCAGGTCATTATAGCTTTGACACCACTTATTATTAAACGCAACCACCTAACTCCCCATCACGGAGTCACTGTATGGCTTTCTGATAATTATTAGGTTTCCCATGGAGATCTTTCCACAGAGAATCAATGTCAGTGTGGCATTTCTATTTTTCAGGGTGAGCCTGGTACAGGATAACTCACCAGTACCTGAAGCTAATTATTTCTGGATGGAAGAATATAATGGAGTCTCTGGACTCAAAAAAGTAAGGATCAAGATCTAGAAAGTGGTGACCCCACCAAACTACTGTGCCATACCCCCCGGCAATATCTCTATTTCTCAGCAAAGCATTCCAAACTCCAATCCTTATATATAATTTCAGCTTTGTTTTCTTGGGTACTGCTATTATATCACCATCATGTGATTTTTCAAGAAGTGAGTCTGAAATTAAGGACCAATTAGATGTAATATAAATAACTTTAATAATTCAAATTAAAGAAAAAGTCAACTACCATTATTTAACTAGAATACTAACTTTCCCAACTACACACTGGTATTTTTGAAATTCTGAAAATCCATTCCCCTTTTCCATTTTGAAACACAAGTTAGTTACCTCTCAGAGAAGCCACCAAAGTCAGAGACAAGATCACACATCCTAAGTCCACTCCGAGCAGCTTTGGAAGAATACACTGGGCCAATGCCCTTTTTTGTGGTACCCAAACTTAAAAACAAATCAAAACAAGCTTTAAGTCAGACAAGAAAGAAGCAGTTCTTATAGTTAGATCATCACAAAAAATGAAGTTACATATGACTAGTTTCTGTTCATGCTACTTCCTCTAAGTTTTTTTTTTTTTTTTTAACAATCCTATTTTCTCCAAAGCCTAAAAAAGATATTCTAGTATTTCTTTCTCTTAAATGTATGGCCTAAAATTTAAACATAAGGGTCTGGATATGCTTAAAACATACTTTTTTCCTGCTTGTTCTTGTCTTTGTTGTTCCTGGATACCATCAGCTGCTTGATGAAAATCAAACACTGAGGGAAGAAAAAAAAATCAAAGTTTGTTATTGAAACAAAGTAATACAGGAAAGCAAAACATACTGCATTTTAAATTACTGAACTGAAGCTATAAATTCTTTCAGTCTCATTTCATTATAACAAATCAAATGGATAAATTTTAAAAAGTGACAATCACAGGGAGTTAAGGAATTGTTATCATTCAGATGGGGTGAAGGTTTTAATGAGAACCATATATTAACATGAAAATATACCTATACTGTTTTAAAGAGCAGTCATTAAGAACACCTTACCCCTAAAATTCTATAAAGCTCGGTTTACAAAGATATCCACTTTCCTTCCAGTTCTGGATTCCAGAACTCTAGGATTCATTGTGATACTTCCTCCTTCTTCACTAGTCCTAAGCTACCATCATCTCTCACTAAAACTGTAGCCTCCTTCCACTCTTAGACCCCTTTAATCCAAACTCTTTAATGTAGCCAAAGTCATTTTTCCAAATCACGAATATGATGTCACCACTCCCCTGCCCTTAAAATGCAATGACTTTCCATTGCTCAAAAGAAAAAGACAAAACTCTCTAACATGGCCTCCTCATATAGTCTGCCCTTTCATCTTACATCATACTCTGCCACCCTCTCTGCCTCTAGTCATACTGGCATTCTTTTAATTCCTTGGCTATAAGGCATACGCTGTTCCTTCTGCCTGGAATATGCCTCCTCCTCCATGCGCACACGCGCGCGCGCGCACACACACACACACACACACACTTATTCACTTATTCACTCCTACCAAGACTCCATGAGTACCAGGACCATGTCAATTTAGCGCACCAGTTTATTTCCTACAGCAATTACAAGTTCTCAAATATTTACTACTGAATAAACGGTCTATACTGCAACACATGGCATCGCCATGAGTTGAAATCGACTCGATGGCGACTGATTGGCTAGCTGGTTACTGAACACGCAGACCTAGAAAATTTGGTGTCTAACCATGGCTTCTTGTTTTTTGGTTTATTTGTTTGCTTTTTACAGTTTTATGAGGATATAATTTATATACCACAAAATTTAGTCATTTAAAGTATACAACTCAATGGTTTTTAATATATTTAACCAAGCCTTCTTTATATTAACGATGTTATTGTTTCCAAACAAGTTGAAATGTGTAAATTTTAAACAAGATGACTGATGAAAGGTTCTTGGAATCAGTGGCAACATCTGTAAAAATCTTAGCAAGAACTATTTTGAAGTCTTAGAAGACTAATACTGTAATTACAGATGGTGACTTTAGAAAGGTTCAATAAAACTTCGCCTAAAACCACCCTCTGATTAACCCAAGCCCCTAAAACCTTGTAAGTACTCTTCCCTAATTCCCCCCTTTTGAGATACTACTAAAACTTTGTCAAGGCAAGTTTAATAACCATAGTTTTATATGTCAACAGGCTCCCTTAGTAGTTTTAGAATGGGAATTTTACACATCTTATATTAGTTGGTTACGTTACATAAGCTAAATTTTTATTGGGTGATTTAACACTATTCTCTGAATCAGTATTTGTCTCAGTGTCACAGAACTAGGTAGCAACAACATCCCTAAAACAGCATCAGCATATTGTGCAACAAAAAATATCTACCAGAATGTTCAGAGCAATATCATTTGTAATAGGCCAATACTGGAAATAACCCAAATTTCTATCAATGGTACAACAGATAAATAAATTATAGTATATTCACACAATGGAATACTATACCAAAATGAAAAAGAATAAATATTGCTTCATGTAACAGCTCACAGACATAATGTTGGGTGGAAGCCAGATACAGAGGAGTATATAATGTATCATTTTATATAAAGTTCAAAACAGACAAACCTAATCTATGGCAACAGAAGAACAGTGGCTACCTTTGGTGAAACGGGGATGGGTAGTGTCATGGATTGAATTCTATCCCCCCAAAATATGTGTCCACTTGGTTAGGCCATGATTCCCAGTATTGTGTGGTTGTCCTCCATTTTGTGATTGCAATTTTATGTTAAAGAGGATTAGGGTAGGATTGTAACACCCTTACTAAGGTCTCACTCCTGATCCCCTGGGGTGTGGCCTGCACCACCTTTTATCTTGCAAGAGATAAAAGGAAAGGGAAGCAAGCAGAAAGTAGGGACCTCATACCACCAAGAAAGAAGCACTGGGAGCAGAGCGTGTCCTTTGGACCCGGGGTTCCTGAGCAGAGAAGCTCGTAGTTCAAGCGAAGATTTACGAGAAGGACCTTCCTCCAGAGCCAACAGAAAGAGAAAGCCTTCCACTGGAGGTGACACCTTGAATTTGGACTTCTAGCCTACTAGACTGTGAGAACATAAATTTCTCTTTCTTAAAGCCATCCACTTGTGGCATTTTTGTTATAGCAGTACTAGATGACTAAGACAGGTAGTAACTAGGAAAAGTCATCAGAGTGGCTTTCTGGGGCACTAGGAAGGTGCTAGATTTAAGGTAGATGGTGATTGCACAGGTAAAATATGTGTGCACTTTTGTGTACACTGCTGTACTATGTTTTACTTAAAAAATTTTTTCTCTTGCCTAACCCATGGATTCTACACCTTGGTCAGTAAATAGCTATCATATGCTATAGGGGTTAGTTTATTATCGTGTTCCCATTTTGGTGCTCAGCCAGTAGTTTTTCTTATCCATTTTTGAGGGGCCAGAATAGTTATTTCTTAGGAGCTGTTTCTTTGAACCTTAAGTCCGTACATCAGTTATAACAAGACTGAGAACCTAGAGTACGCCATTTCTTTTGAACAAAAAAAAAGCATTTGCACTTAAATATTTGTTTTGTTTTCTATATTCAAAGAAGTTACAAAGGCAAAGGGCAAACCACAATAAATGGTTCATGGAAAACAAGTAAACCATACTTTTCAGAAATTTAATTTTGTACCCTGTCATACAGCTGATGTGCTCTTAAGAGTCTCCTAGGCCCCAGGAAGCTATTAGTGAAATGAGAATAATTAATTTCATAAGGCTTCACTGTGGCATGAAGCCTTAATATCTCCATGACTACTAGTTGTCTGTCTGAAATTACTTTAAATATCTCTTCCATTTTCTGCAGCCTAAACATTGAAAACAAACTTAAAAAGGTCAGCTTGGGAGAGGCAGGAAAGAGAAGAATCCCACTGCCACCAAGGAAGAACAGCCAGGAGCCAGCATGTCCTTTGGATTCCTGCACTGAGAAGCTCCCAGAAGCAGAGATGGAGCGATGGAGAGTGAGTTGTAACCCTGAAAGTGGCAGAGAAGCAGTAGTAGCAGGAGAGATCGGCAGCAGGAGACAGCTCGGTGGGCTTCCCAGCTCACGGAGAGAGAAAGTCAAGTGTCTTTGGGCAGAGGCCTAGAGCCAGGGAGAGGCATGTCTGCAAGCATGGCTGGGAAAAGGCTGTCCTGATGGCAGAACTGTATCCTTGAGTGTTCCTCAGCCTGAACTGTAACCTGTTACTTCACTAATAAACCTCATGATCGATCCGAAGAATGAAGGCCAGGGGAGTGCTGTCTCAGTGACAGCAGAGCTGGGGCGTTCAGGGAAGGCTTGAAGATACTTAATACCAACAACATATATCTGAAATGATTACCATCAAAACCAGAAAATAACAGTACTTCCCAGACCAAGAATGGAAAGACACAGACATCAATACAGAACTGAGATGTCTCCTGTACTACTGCCTGCAGTGCCAGGCACAGTGCCTCACATTCAGAAGGTACTTGGTAAGTGTTGGCTGAATGAAGAAAGTATACAAAAGGCCTATGACTCGCACAGCAAATTACTGAGTATTCTGAAGTCAAGGCTGCCAAAAAAGGAGATTATATTCAAGGTGTACAGAAGCTTTGTTTGTATTGATATCAGGTTACTGAGAAGCCACTCGATACACTGAGATGTCTGAGTACTTATTTCAGTTTCCTTAAAACCACCTCTTACAGTTCTGCTCTGTTACACTGGGTTGCTATTAGTCGAAAATCAACTTGACGGCACTTAATAACAACAATAACGGGGATATAAAAAGGAGAACAATGGGAATTCTGAGGCATATGAAGAAAGGATGAAAGGTGCAAACATAACTGATTTTTACTGGAGCAGCGTAAAAAATTTTTAATTAAAGGTCCCTTTTTTTAGAACTGTGTCTTTCAAATGTTTCTGATGGTGCACCCTTTTAGTAGAACATTTCTGGGAATGTGCTCAAATATACCGTATGTATATATATTTATTTATAAACTATTTACCACTGTGAGAAAATGTTTCCCTGAATGATATGAGGACTTTTATCAACTTAGACTATGCGTTTGCCAGTAAAAAGTTCCTAAATATTCATCATTAAATTTAGAGAAGTTCTGCGAAGTACAAGATTGACTTCCGACACTAAAAAAAAAAAAAAAGAATACGAAAAAGACAAAAATAAAAAATGTGTAGCTGCTCGTATTCATGTAGTGGAAAATATTTTTAAATGTCTTGCTAACTGGGATGACCATATCCTATCATTAGCTAATATTTCAAAAACAATATACACACTTAGTGAGGGGCTTACTGTTAATAGCCAAGATTAAATAGGATTTCAAACACTCTTCTTTAAAATTTGGCATTTTTTCAAAAAAGAGGCCTGCATAAGTGGAAAAACATACCTTGCTCATGGATAGGTAGACTCAACATTGTGAAAATGTCAATTCTACCCAAAGCGATCTACAGATACAATGCAATCTCAATCCAAATTCCACCAGCAATTTTTAATGAGATGGAGAAACAAATCGCCAACTTCATATGGAAAGGGAAGAGGCCTTGAAAAAGTAAAGCATTACTCAAGAAGAAGAACAAAGTGGGAAGCATCACACTACCTGATTTTAGAACCTATTATATCCCCATGGTAGTCAAAACAGCCTGGTACTGGTACAACAACAAATACATAGACCAATGGAACAGAATTGGGAATCCAGACATAAATTCATCTACCTATGAGCAGCTGATATTTGACAAAGGCCCAAAGTTGGTTAA